CAGGCTGCCCAGAGAGGCTGTGGAGGCTCCTGCTCTGGAGATCTCCAAACCCGCCTGGATGGACCCTGTGCCCCTGCTCTGGGTGTCCCTGCTGGAGCAGGGGCTGGACTGGGGGATCCCTAGAGCTCCCTGCCAACCTCAGCAATTCTGTGAGTCTGTGTAAAAGTTACTCCTTTTGCTGTGCTTTAATTCTTTATTTCTTTTCCTTTCTCAACTCTTCTAGACTCCATAGATGGGAAACAAGCTCGAAGGACGCAGTCCAGTAGTCCTCTGGGAGAATTATTTGACCATGGACTGGATAGCTGGGCTACCTCCATTTTTGTGCTCTCTTTTTTTTCTGTCTTTTCCCGTGACAATGGGAGGACTGGAGTTTCTGTATATACAATGTATTTATATTTAAGCATTGTTTTGTTTAACTTCTTGTGTTCACACTGGGAAAAATACAACACGGGAGTTCTTTTTCTTCCTTGGGGATACGATCTGAGCCAAGTGGTGAGTACTTATCATTCCTATTATTGTTATTTTTTTAACTATGTTAGTGTTTTTGTAATATTACGGAAGTAGAAAAAATATAGCTCAAGGCAAAGGTATTTAGCCAAAAATTTGAATGAGAAATAGTGTAACCCTGAAAGAACTTCAGGAGTATTTCCTGCATTTGCAACAAAGGGGCATTCTCAAGCAATTTGTCAGCCACAGAGATTCATTGCCTTAAAGGAAAAAGAAGGGCTTCCAGCAAGCCTGGAAGTCAGGTGGCACACACGAGAATGTCCTTTAACTGCATTTGATTTGTGATAATAATAAAAATTGTCTTCCTATCTGAAACCATAAGCAATTCTGCTGCCAACACCAGGCTTTGAGACACTACGTGAATTAGTCCAGCTAGTATTAGCAGTTGTGTCATTGTTGGTATTGTATAACACTTCACCTCCATTTTGCCACCTCTTATATTGAATATGGTAGTGGAAATAAGGTCATACCTATGCACTGGCATACACTGTCCTCAGGTGGCTTTTTCTGTTGAAAATAAGTGACTTTAGACTTCTGGTTTTTGAGAACCATGTAAACATGGAGCATCCAGTAACATGCATTCCTCACTAGCCTGCAGCCCGGCTGACTTGCCTGCCTGGCTTTCAGGCCTGCCCATTAGAGGACCTCTCCATAAGCCTGGCCAGGGCCCCTCAGCGCGTGGCAGCCGTGTTGCACAAAGGAGGTGCTGGGAGGTGGCAGCAGCAGTAGCAGCCTCATTGCACAAGCAGGTGGATGCCCAGGAACAGGATTTCTGGGCTAGCGAGCCTCTTAAATAGCCAGGCCGCCGAAAGAGGACAGTCCCCATCTTCTGAGTTTCCTGTCACAAGCATGAGATGAAAGGTGGAGCCAAATATGTGTAATTGAAAGGAAGTTTGACAAATGTTCTAGTATTTTTAATGGAAAAAATAGGATTTGAATTGATGGCTGCAGATGTATTGTTGTAAACAAGATCAAAATCCAGTGTTTTGAGAACAACCCGAAGACTCAGGTCCAGCTGTGGCGCATGTGTTTCATCCCCTAGAAGATGGGTCCTGCGAGGAGGAGCTGGCGCGATGCTCACACATTAGGCAGCCAGCTGCTCTGGGGGTCTCAGCCCTATCTGCTTCTCCGTGAGGTCCTGGCAGCAGGAGAGCACCGGCTGCGCTCAAACCAGCCTCACTGCTTGCTTAAGCGATTGCTGGAGATATACGTGCAAATGCTTAGAAAGCTCTTTTTGATCGCTGCAGCATCCGGACCGTGTTAGTGGTTAAATGTGGGAGGGGAATCGGCTAACGGAGCGCTACTGCTGGCTCTGCCAGGGCCTGTTAGTGACCTCGGCCACTGCGACAGCTTTCCCATCTGGGAGATGACAGCAATAACATTCTCCTGTCTCGCAGATTTGTGGTGAAGCTTAATTTCATTAGAGACTGTAAACAAGTATGATTAACTTGGCTGCAAGATGCTAACACCTAATTATTTCCTGTTGCCTTTTGATGCTGAATTGCAGTCCTGTATGACTTCTTTTCCAGTGACCTCTGTGATGATTTGCTTACAGTCAAAATGATGAGCAATTTTTTTCTTTTGTGTAGCACTCAAGTAGTAGTAGATTGTACCTTAGAAATATCTGTATGTCAATTTTCCCCTCTGTAAATACTAGCTCTGCAGCTGCGATTTTCTGAGGACAAAAGCAAGACAAGGGCAGCGGATCAAGGTAGTATTTTTTCTGTAGTCCAAGCTCTATGTTATTATGCACCAGAAAGCTTGTGTACTCTTTTCTAGCTGTTCTAAGTGGTCTAGTAAAATATGTTAAGTCTGCTACAAACATTGCCTTGCTCCTGTTTTGCAGAACAGTTCAGCAATTTCATATGATGGGTGTGCTATTAAAGGCAGTTATTCATCGCCCTGTACTTGGAGGAGAGGATATTGAGGTCATTAGCAAATAGCTAATGATAAGTAAGAAAGATAGCATTTCCTGGGCTGTTTTTTTTCACCACTTCTTGCCAGATATTACTGCAATCGCATGGAGAGGAACAGAGGGAGGGAGCACTTCTAGGCTGTTTCCAGGCACGTTCCAAGCATTTGGTTCATTTTTTCTGTGACATTTTAAGCTAGAATACAAAGTGAAGGCATTTTAAATAATTTCAGTGGCAAGATGATGCTGTTGCACTGGCATGTCAAACACCAAGGTGGTCTAGGCCCCTATTTCTGCTTTTAAAATTCATGGCAGCCAGGAACTCAGGACTTCATTATCATCAGGGGTAATGGGTACAATACTGTAATTAATGCAGGTGTGCAAAGAAAAACACTGTGCTTGCTGCAGGCGTGCAAATGCACAGCCATTGCCTCTGTGAAAACGTAGCTGCCGGGCAGCTCCTGGGTCCGGCTGTGAGGGCGTTCGCTGCGCGCGAGGCCGGGCAGGGCCCTCCGCCTGGCCCCGGGCGGTAGCGATGCCAGTAGGGCCAGGAGGGGATCCTGCCCCTCTGCTCAGCCCTGGGGAGGCACCTGGAGCATCGGGGGCAGCTCTGGGCTCCCCAGGACAAGAGGGACCTGGAGCTGCT